CTGCGACCTTGATGGAGAAGCGTAAGCACAAGGTCTCGAGAGGGTACACATGATCCTCGACCTAAACAGCGAATTCTGATTTTTGCGCGTGTGTTATGGCAAGTTAACAACACCTACCAGGATAAAATTGTGCAATAGGCAATATGGCGCTTTGTTTGAACGTTGCGATAATAGCACCTCCTACGGGAACCTTTGTGATAGTGCACTATTAAACAGCGTAACAGCAAAAAGAATGAAGAGAAGGTCATATAAATTCTTATTTTTAGACAGAGCAAGCTTCCAAGTTATTCTTTTTTAAAATGAGGTAGAAAAATTACATTGTGATTTCAGCAATTTGAAGCCATTAAGAAAAAGCAGTTTCTGCCACTTTACATAACATTTTTACCTGGAAATTCTTATCAAGAGACTGCACGAAAGCGTCAATTCTTCCAGTCTCACGACCCTGAAAAGAGTTAGATTCTAGGAGGTTGTTTATTTTTACTTCTTTTGGATTGCTTCAGTTTATGACTAGCTGTGGGATTTGAATGATGAAAAAACTCAAATGTAAATACTTATCAACTCGCAAGTTTTAAAATCCTACCGCATTAATTCTTCTCACACACTCCTCACTTTGAAGACCATACGCATTGTTCACAAGATGCGGTACGTTGTAAATCTGCAACAGATATCCGAATTATAACAAAAAATCAGCAAGACTCAAAAAGACATACCTGGCAGATGCCGGAGATAGCCTCTAACGAGTCCGGACTGCGCGGAGCGAAACACGACGTTGTGGACATCACGCAAAGAATCTAGATCTATCTCTTACTTTGAGCGAGTTCTCGAAATAACATTAGAAAAATTGGAATTTTCCTATACACAACATTTATTCTTCTTTGGTCAAATAATGAAACCATATTAACATAGAGCACCTCGTCTCCGCGCTGCTCCAATATTCTGTTCACGCTCTCCACATCCGTCACTAGCGCATCGCCTTCCCGAACGGAATCCACTACCAATGGCTCAAATCCTTAAAAGCACTTCAAATAGCTATGATGATATTGTTTACACCTAAGCAAATATCTTTATGTCCTTATTCTGATATCAGGTTAGATATAATCTCATAAATTTTTGGTTGTTTTTGAACATCTCTGGTTGTGCTGTTTTTCAAAAAAATTCAATATGAAAAATACTGAAAAGACTACTCAATAATATACATCTTACAAAGAGCAACGCTTTGACGAGCACCGCAAAAGGCATCTGGAAACTGACCTGCATGTAAGACCGATTTGAAGCATGACTTCTGGTC